ACAGAAGTGAGTACACCCTCTCACACTTCATAAATATTTTAGAATATTTTTTCATGTGAAAACACTGAAGAAATGACACTTGGCTACAATGTAAAGCAATGAACATACAGCTTGTATAGCAGTGTAAATGTGCCGTCCCCTCAAAATAATGCAACACACAGCCATTAGTGTCTAAACTGCTGGCAACAAAAGTGAGTACACTGTAGCCAAGTGTCATTTCTTCAGTGTTGTCACATGAAAAGATATACTAAAATATTGATGCAATGTGAGGGAGTGTACTAATTTCTGTGATATACTGTGTAACGTTAAGCAACAGAGGGAAAACAGTTGTTTTTATACTCACTTCTGTGATATACTGTATAACGTTAAGCAACAGAGCGAAAAAGCAGTTTATCACATTTAAATAAATATAATTCTAATAATTAGTAAGTTTAGTCTCCCAATATTATACTTACTTTCCCTTCTCTCGTTTCTGGAGATATCGTTTTGAGTGACACAATGTCCTAAAGTCACTCTTCTTAGCTGCATTCAAGCCAGAGAAAGGATACTTTAGGGAAAAGGAATAACTTTATCTGATATGTTAAATCTGGAGCCCTTGGGTCTCAGTGCTTCAACACTTTTCCTTCTTTGAGCTCCATCTCTCTACTCTTTCCAGTTCTCCCTTTGCTCCATACAACAACTCTCAAGCTATTTTTCTGCTGCCCTTGTAATCTTCCTTCCACCTCTCATTGTATCTGCCTAGGCTTCTGAAGTTTTGTTAAAATATTATAAAAGTTATGTATGTTGAATAGGACAACAAGGTCCCAGAGGGTGTCGGGAGCAAAAGATGTGTAGTCATGTTCTATCAGTCTCCAAGAAAGTGCTTGTGTGAACTATGGGAATTACTTGACAGGTGTCCCCCCTCCCATTTGTGTCATGCTCCTCACTGTTCCTTTCAACAGTTATTCCACAGACTACACTGTGTTAGTGCTAATCAAAAGTAGATTCAGTCGTTTGTTATGTGTATTCAGCATATTTTGTTTGGCTGGCATGGCTTTTTTGGGGGGGGAGTAACATTTCCAGTCCTGTCCTGTTAGTGCTAATCAAAAGTAGATTCAGTCATTTGTTATGTGTATTCAGCCTATTTTGTTTGGCTGGCATGGCTTGTATTTTTTTTCTTTTTTTGCAGGAGGGGGGGGAACATTTCCAGTCCTGTCATTGTGTCTTGCTTTTGGCTTGTGTAATTGCCTATATTGTTCCTATGGAGTAGTTGCTGTGTACCATGGATTATGTTCAGAGTGGGGTGTGATGTGGGAGTGAACCCTAGCCCTCTTGCCTACCTTCTACTTGCATTGGTAAGGACTGTAATTGCAATGCAATTTGTACATTGTATCTTTAAAATATTCTTTTCTCATAATTTAGCGCTATTGCTTGTGAGCTTCCAATAGGCATCTGGCCAGTTATAGTGCTCAGTTCAGAGCTATTTCACTTGCTAAACATTTTTAAAAAGGAAGGGATTTGAGTACTGGCAAAAGGGTTGGGTAATAGGTGATAACAACAGAGAAGGGTGAGGGAGAAGGACAGCCTTGTGGAATGTGAACACTTGAAACACATCTTCAGATAGTTAAACATTTCTGTGTGAATGGCAACAGCAATAAAAATTCAGGATGTCACACTGGGCCCAACATCTGTGTGGTCACATCCTGAGCTACATGAAACTGCAGAAGTTTCAGGGAATTACTATGCTTCTTTGGGTCTCTGACTAGGTACAGAAATCTCCCCGGACACTGGTGATGAGACAGTGTTCTCCACCTCACCTCGGGGCAACAGGACAGATTAGAGGATGCCAGGGAAATACAGCTCTGGCCTATAGCATCTCATTATACCTTCCTAGCCTTCCAACATCAGTGTGAGATTATTGCTTTTCTCTGCATAACAGTAGGAAAAAACCTAGTTATTTGAGCCATTTGGGGGTAAGGTGCATGAAATATTTAGCAAAAACAGTTTTAAAGGGTTTTTTATAAAGTTACTGTGGGGGGAGTAGAAAATGTTGCATTGACTGGCAGCATCAAAACCAACAGACGTGTCTGTTAAATTTGGGTGGAGGGAACAGGTTTCGACTATCAGAGGCTGGGAATAAGGAAAGGAGAGAGAGTTGCTTTGCTTTAATGCTGCACTGCTTGTGAGCTTCCCAGAAGCATCTGGCTGGTTGGCTGCAAATGGAAGCAGATATTTTGACTAGACTGACCTTTCAAGATTGATTTAAGCAGAGCTTCCTGTGCAGTTTCGCCAACTCTGCAAACAGGACATAGGAGAAGCAAATTACTTTTCCTGTCTGTCAGCTTTTCAAGCACTGTTGAGTGGGTCTGTGTAAAATGGCACAGGTAGTAAGAAGATTTATCTTCTCTCTTTCGCTTTTCCCTCTGTATCTCTCCAGCCAAAGAAAAAGACAATTCATCAGGACTGCTGCCATGCTGACTCCAGTCCAATGGTGTTTGCCTTTTGGCTCACTCTTCGGTGCTCTCTGCAGATAGCATGTGCTTTGGCGAATGGGACAGTCTGGGCAGCAGGATATTAGACCTGGCAGGGCTGCAGAACCTACCAGTTCCTGGAATGTCAGTTGTCTGGGCAAGAGCTAATTAAGTAGCTCTTTCAATCTGTGCCCAAGACAAAGCCTTGTAATGATGCTTTGAAGTTAGCTGTCTTTGTAGTGCTGACAACCACAGCGGGGATGCTCTTGATCCAGGCCATTCATCTTCTCAAACAGAAACCAAAAGTCCCCTCTCAGGCAGAATGGATTTAGGACATTAAATGAATGTAAAAATGGAAGACTGCAGCATCTGATGGTAACCTATGATGGTATCTCATTTTGGCTCCTTCTAGAAGAGCAGGGGTGGGCAACACATGTGCCTTCAGATGTTTGGAGTTACAACTCCCATAATCCCTTACCATTGGCCATGCTATCTGTTGTTTTTGTGAGTTGGAAGTCCAAAACATCTGGCAGGCCAAATGTTCCCCATCCCTATGGTAAGAACCATGCTAATCGTTTTTGCATCATTTCCATTTTTAGAATATTAAAAACTATAAATTATTAGTACTATAAAGCATTTATTAGTAGCTGTGTGCCATCAAGTCAATTTATGTTTATGGCACTCCTTTTTGGAGCTTTCTAGGTATAAAGTACTTAATTCTATGGTTCTAAAAGTGGTTACCAGCGATGCCTTCTGGGGGCACTTTGGGATTGTGCAGCTTGCCCAAGGCCACACAGGCTGGCTCTTCTCTCAAGAGCCACAGTGATTGAACTTCTGATTTCTGGCTTCACAGCCAGGTTCTCAGCTCATGGCTGGCTCTTCTCCCAGGAGCCACAGTGATTGAACTTCTGATCTCTGGCTTCACAGCCAGGTTCTCAGCTCACTGAGATGTTCAGATATTATAAAGCATTACCTGCACTTCAATCTCTTCAAAAAGCCAGAAGGTTATCTCAAATAATTACTATAAGATAAAAGGTTAACAAACAAATCAGAATGAATAGTAATACCATGGCTGGTAGACATAAAGTGAATTAAAATTTCCTCTATTTGGAAATTAGCTATTTCAAGCTAGCCTCACACCTCTCTGAATTTAAGGTCAGCATTTAAATGAAACTTCCTCCTGCTACTAGTCAACTCTCTATGCCCACTTTGTCATTTCCTATGGAGGTGGGAAAACCTTTGGGAAGGGGGTGTAGGAGAGGACAGGATTTTCTGCAAAGAATTTTTTTAAAAGTTCTTAAGTAGAAATAACTCCTCACCATGCTAAAAAAAAGTCACTTTCTGCCGGGGAGTATGAGATTAGTCATTTCTGCTGCCTCTAAGCAGCAGCAGTACAAGGCAGTGGAAATTGCATGTCCCATACTTTATGTTCATGCAGGAGAGCAATATGTGCGTCTAAACAAGAAAAATATAGTGAGCATGGGATCTGTACTTTCCTGTGACTCCCAGTCTGAATCACAATGCAGAGGGAATCACAAATGTTTTGTTTTCCATTTATTGTTTCCTCAACCAAGCTTTATAGGAAAAGGAGTGTGCATGTGTGTTACTCTGAGGGGATGGGCTTCCATACATTAACTGACTGCAGCTTTCAGTACTCTCTAGCTCACAACAAGCAAAGACAGAGGCATGTGTACACAGGGGAAAGGCCATAAATTGCCCAGTTGTGCTTATGTCAGGCTTTAAGACATTACCCAAGGGAAGTGTTTGGATCTTGCGTCAGATTGCCATCAAAGATTCCTTGGGATTTGGCGATGTTAAATCTCTCTGCCCCATCCGCCTGAGCACAGGTTATTTGTAAAGGTCACTCTCTGAGTTGACTGCGGCTACAGCAACTAACATTTCTCCGCTGTTCTTGGCTCAGCCTTCAAGGTATGTAGTCTGGGCACTATCCTCTTAGATTCTTTAGAGAATAGTTTAGCAAACTTTTCTAGGACTGAAAAAGAATGAAAAGCAGAGGAGGTTTTCCCCCTTGCTTTTGTCTGAAAAGAAATGGGGGAAAATGCTGAAATAAAAATGATTGGTCTCTGTACTTTTTTTAAATTATTCAATCATTTTTACCCCTTGCACTCCCTCCTTTTTTAAAATCAGTAAGATGACCATTTATCCAGCAGTTTTGCTTGGCAAACCGAGTATCTGAGAAAGTATTCAGGAGGAGATAAAGCTATTGTGGCAGCATTTTATTAATTATCATCCTATTGGCATGTACACGAAGACACTGGAAATGATTTTTGGACAAGAGGGCAAGTGGGACAGGAGACATTCCCCTTTCTCGGACAGCAGTGATAAATGAAACACCTCTGATAGCTTCACAGCTTGTATTTGGGATTTCATTCTTTATAAATGCAGCCTAGTCAAACTCTTATTCTCTTAGGAAAGATCTTCTCTTCTCTCCTGTCTCCAAAGACAATTAAAGCCAAAAATTTGAAACTGTATGTCTGTTTTATTTTTATTTTTTTTAGATATATAAGTGAGAAAAGGGAAAAAAGACTTGTCACATCAGTGGCATTTTTAAAAACAACCACCAGTGGCTTGGAGGAAAAAGTACACAAATCCTAAAATGACTCTTTTCCATGTGCACTTATATTTAACTGGCTCAGTCTTCTGGATCATGCAAAAATCCAGCTCCTTCATGCTGCCCAATAGTACTGAACTTCTTTACTCATCCAGAAGCACAACGGCAGACCTCACAGTTAGCCTTGGAGTACCAAGAACCCGCAGGAAACGCTATATTTCGCCCAGGGAAATGAGCGCACTTTTGGACTACCATAATCAAGTGCGGGCACAAGTGTCTCCACCTGCAGCCAACATGGAGTACATGGTGAGTTCTCTTTTTGACATTTTTCTATTCAAGCTGGAATCAAAGATGAAAACTGGCAATGAATTTGATATCAAAGGGCTTTGGGAGCGCAGATTTCCCCAGGCTGAAAAGCCTTGCCTGGTTTCAAACTAGTCCCAAACCTCTCTAAATTGAGATCCATATTGTCCCTGCAACCGTCAGTCCAAATGGCAACTAGTCCATCAGGGCAACTGAGGTGCTACCCCATCTCAGGCTCAGGGCACCTCTTGCCATTCCATCTCCCACCTGCTTTCCTACCAGAGGCACAAGATCTCTCTCTATATAACAATACTTAGGAAAAGTAGATATTTGTATATGCCAGAATGCTTGCTTCTGATTATATTTGTGTGTCTGTGTGTTCATGCATGTATAGGAAAACAGCCACATCTGCGTCTCTGACTTTGCCCATTATTGGTTGCTGTGCTTTCCATTTCACCAGCCAAAGTGGACATCAACTGCCACTGGTCAGTTCTCATTTTCCCATTGTATTGTTACTGGTGGCTGGGAAGGAACAGCAACTAAGTTTGGTTGTGACTTTGGAATATTATGAAAGAGAATTTGCATGCAAATAGATGTACAAGTGTATACCTCCTTCACAGAAACAGGACTCCAGATTGGCCAAAATCTATATATGCACCTCTGCCTGTCTTTGTACTCTTTCAAATTGTTGGTAATGGTATGTATGTGTAGATACATCCTTGCAAATATATACATATGCTAGCTTTTGATATATATATGGAAAGCTAGCATATCAGGCAGAAGAGTAGGGTTTTACACTTCTTCCTGACGTGCTATATTTCTATGTGCTACATGTTCTTCATTATAATGAAACAATATGATTCAAGTAGGACAATACAGTTACTTAATGCCTGAATGCAGAGATGGACAGCTTCCACTCCCAGGCAGTAGTGTAGCAAGGCTAGAGCATGTAGCATTGTTACTTTTAAATTGTTTTATTTACTTGCTGTCAGCCGCCCAGAGTAGTCTATGACTAGATGGGCGGGGCATAAGTATAATAAATAAANAGTTAAACCCGTGAGACTTTCTGAGTGGAAGGGACTATACCACCACCTGCCAGCCACCTCAGGTTCCTCTATTAACTATGAGTTTCACGTCAGTTCTCGCAGTACCCGAGAAATGGATTTTTGCCAGAATACTAATATTATTGCAAGGTATGCATGTATAATGCAAAGTATTTGAGATTGTTTGATCTTGAACGGGAAATTCAGAACCATTGGCTTTACAAAAGACCAGTTCTTTGTTATATTTATAGGAATCAGTTCAGCTGCATGCATTTCTGAACTGCCCTTATTCGATGGGGTGGCAAATCATGTTTAAATTGACATGATGAACATCGATACTTTCAAAGTGACCTCTACACCTCTTTCTCCTTGGCCTCAGTCTAATGCCATGCAGTCCTTAACCCAATTCCAAAAGCTGCTTGCACACAATTCAGTTCAGACTTCAAGGAAGAGCTTGAAGGAGTTAGAATGAGAGAAAAGGAGGTGAAAGGAAAATAAGGGAGGGAAGGAAGTTAACTGGTCAGCTGGCTAGCTCACCCAAAGGGGTAGCCCCAATTTTCACTTTGCTTTCTGCTGTTGTGTGACCGCCAACAGATCACACTCAAGGGAATGTTTCCCTTGACAGGAAGAGGACAAAGGGTTCCCCACCTGCCATTCTGCTTTCATCAGCAGCAGCACCAGATCTTCCAAGGCCATATATTGTAACATTTCCAGCATTTCCATTACTGTCTGGCATGCATCAGTTTTGGACCAAGGGATTGGTGATCAATGGATGTATTTGAAGAGCAACCCATTGTCTATTGTATGTGGTCTCATATGCTCTTAACATTCTCCTCTTTCCTGACCAGGTATGGGATGAGAGGCTTGCCCGATCTGCAGAAGCATGGGCAGAACAGTGTCTATGGGACCATGGACCCTCACACTTGATGAAATTCATTGGTCAGAACCTTGCCATTCATTCCGGCAGGTAAGCAGTGTCCTATGTCAATCAAAGCCTCTAGATTGGCACCCATTATTGAATCAGAATGAATAACCCTTCAGATAATTCATTCAGGCCTGAAAACTGAGCGCTGTCCTATTTTGGCCCTTTCAAATAAAGGCTAATCCTCTGTTAAGTAAGAGGCAGTGCGTAACATACCAAATGAAACCATTTTCCTGTAGAAAATACCAAAGAAGCAGCTTTATTAAAAACAAATCTTAAATTAGCTACTTCCATATAACTTTAAAAGATCGTAAATAAAAGAGGACCTTTATCTGAGCTTCTTACGATTGTGTAAATATTTTGTATGATTCCCTTATATATATTCATTCATTCATTCATTCATTCATTCATCATTCATTCATTCATTCATTCATTTTGGATCATTTGTAACCACCTTTTCTTTGGTGAGGGAACCCAAAGCTTACAATGTTAAAACAAGTGACACTAAACACACAGTAAATTACAGGTTAAAAAGCAATTAAGCATGCAGTAGAAACTGAACATTCATCAATTGATTAAAATGCATTTAAAACTGAAATTAGAAAATTTTTTGCCACTTCCAACCTATTCACTCACAACAAAACGATACTTTATAATAGGTAAGTGAACATCTCCAAGTTGCATATCCCTTAGTGTGAGAATCATTGGAGCAATCAAGGAAAAGATGGAATGTATAATAAACAAACATACAAACCCAAAACAAACCAAAATTAAAACCAGAACAAAAGAGATTCTCCATTTGCAATGTTCATGTGCTAATTTATAAATGCACAGAGACAGTAATTCATGTGTACAAGTGCACATTTCTGTAATAATTGCTTTAACTTAACTATAAAACACCTAAGCAGAAGGACTTGTGTGCAGGCTCAGTCTGCCAATTGGGTTCTGATTGCTAAAGGGCAATTTCAGTGCTCCCTTTGCTCCCAGTTCTTACAATAATTTAGTTTCAAAATGGACTCAAGACTAGATAGGTCTTCAAATAGAGCATGCCTTCAAAGAACTGTCCTCTGCCAGTTCTTCAAGTAGAAGACTTTCCTATATAATTTAGGAGACAATGCTATTATAGCTTCCCTGATAATGTACTGTATTATTGAAAAATATGTGATATGACATCTCAGTGCTCCCCCCTACACATTTCATTTCATTGATTGTTGCCATACAGCAGGTGGAGAAAACATCACACCATGTGGGATGACATCACACCATGCTTTTCACCACTGTGTTGGATGTGGTGCCTTTCCCTCCTCTACCATAGTGTTGAATCCTGGTCAGGAAGATTTCTTTGTATTGCTCAGAGCTTTTCTTTAGCAGATGGATAAATAACCTGTAATTGACATGGCTCTCTGTAGGTACCGTTCAGTGATGGACCTTGTGAAATCATGGTATTATGAGAAGCAGCACTACTCGTTCCCTCACCCCTATGAATGCAGACCCAGTTGCCCTTTGAAATGTAGTGGTTCTGTCTGCACCCATTATACTCAGGTATGTACCGGTAATGGCAAGTTACAGTACTTCAGTAAAATATTAGAAATGCCATTTAGTCTAACAATTATTTTTGGTTGTTGTGGGTTTTTTGGGCTCTTTGGCCGTGTTCTGAAGGTTGTTCTTCCTAACGTTTCACCAGTCTCTGTGGCCGGCATCTTCAGAGGACAGCACAGAGGCTGGCGACACATTAGGAAGAACAACCTTCAGAACACGGCCAAAGAGCCCGAAAAACCCACAACAACCATTAGATCCCGACCATGAAAGCCTTTGCGAATACAATTATTTTTGGCTCACTTCCCATGAAACACTCAGTCACAGGCAGATCACCTTTTTGTGGTTCTATCCAGAGCATGCAAAGATTACTCTTTTTTTTACCCAAACTCCCAGAATACTGAAGCCAACTTGACCACTGGCCAAAAGGTAACTTTTCTGAGCCTCAGGAGCATACATATGTAATACTGCCAGCCAATGTTCAAAGCGGTTTCTGTGAGTTTTGACTAGAAGAAATCCATTTGATCAAGATTTGTTGTATGTCAAGGTTTCTCAGTCTTGTTGTCAATCTTCTTCCTTCTTTCCTTCCCTCTTTCCTTAGTCTGCCTATTCTTTTCAATGGAGAAAGCTCTAGGGATGGAATTCTGTTGGAATGAATGGGACAATTCACGTGCACTTCATGCCTCTATTAATATATACACACTGCATGTAATTACTTACCTTCAGCTTCTGGAAAGAATGTTCAGTTAGTGGATTGGCAACATACTCTTCTGGATGTTAAATGGCAAACCACCTTGTGGTTTCATAAATGGCTAATAATTTTGTTTGGCATAAGCTTTTCCAAACTGTACCCCCACTTCTTCAAATGCACAGATGTTGTTTCACTGTAGTTCCAACCAGTCTCTCATTGTCTATGGTGGCTAGGATGTTTGGGAGTTGCGGTCCAGTGATAGTTCCATAACATATCAAGGACTACAGGTTGTACAATAAAGGGGGAAGAGCATTAGAAGACTGCTGTCCCCATCCATCTGGGATGATTCATACAGAGTTTTATGCATGTGGTTTTTGCTATTCCTGAAGTATTCCCAGATTCGTGTTTATATCTGGATCAAAATGCTCATTTAAGTACCATTGAGATGACTGAGTGCAATTTTGAATGGAAAAAGTGGGTCCGTCATCTGGTTTGCTATACAGAAAATTACGTATGACTAAACTGGACAGAAGCCATTGTCGTCATTGGCCCTGCAGCTCTCCAGAGAATTCCTACAGTTTTGTATGGTGAAAAACAGTGGATATGATAACAATAATTCTTAGTACCTATCCATATAAAACTTTCCCAAAATGTTTCACCTGCTTTATTTCAGTAGCTATTACAATATTCTTCAATAGACCAGCTATTCTTTCCCATGGGGCAAGCTAAGAATGTCAGACAGTGGTTTGTGTAATTCAAATCAAGAGACTTTGCTGGCTAGGTGAGGCACAAGGAAGGGCTAGGCAGCTGTAGATTTTGGTTTGAATCCCAGTGCTCCATAAGCTCAGAAGTGTGAAACAGATAGAAGGAAGCCTTGAAGGCAAGCATAAGTTATAAGAGAAGAGCATCTTCAACCATGTTCATAAAAGGTTAAAAGATCTCCACCTGAAGGGACTCACAACAGTGTAGATTGTCACCTCCACCCCTTTAATTTTCTACCCATCCCTGCCTGGCAACTTTTCTTGAAGTGAAAAACATTGCACTGTTTAAATCTTAGTTTCTTTCCTAGAAGCATGGCCTGGTTTTTCCATTGCACCCTCTGCCATGGGTTCATGGCAGGTGAACCTTTCCAGCTGAGCTGGATGGAAGGGAGAAGGAGAAGAAAGAAAATTGGCATTTGAGGGAGACAGTGTGATTTAAATCCCCAAAATGAGGCAAAAGGAATGTAGGATTTAATATTTGTACAAGCAGCTTCCTCATAAGGACAATACAGTACTTTTGGACATACTTTATAACATTCCAGACATTGCCTGGTGAGGACAATAATAAACCTAGAACATTAGTTTCCTAACATTTGTTACTTGGCAAGAAGTTGAATAGCTGCAAAGAGGTCCAGTTAGGATTGCCAACTGACCAGGGAAGAGCCAACCTGGCCTGCTCTTCTGTTTTTACCACTACCTTTCTCTGGAGAAATCATCCTGGAAAATTTTTCATGACAGAGTTATCATAAGCATTATTGCATGCTAATGCCTGCAGAGCATGCTTTTGTTAAACTACACAGGTATTATTGGAAAGTGTTGCCAGCCATATATTTATTTCTATTATTTACTACTTAAGGCAGTTTTCAAGGTAGTCTTTCTTTCTTTCCACACATGAACTCCATCATAGGTAAAGTTAAGAGAAAGGGACTGGTCCAAGATTCACCAGTAAGTTTCATGACTTAACTGTGACTAGAACCTGGGTTTCTCAAATCCTAGCCCAGCATTCCCACCACTCCAGCTGTTCCTAGGTGGTGATTCAGGGTGTATGTGGGGACTTTGAACCTGAAGCTCTTTTAGTTACTTTTATAGTTACAAGGAGAGTGACCTCACATTTGAGGTGTGTTTGGTAGCACTGACTATCAAATCATGCCATTTTGATAGGGGTTTTAAAAGCAAAATATATATTTACATGAAGAACTGTTGCTTTTTGAAAACTGCAACTAAAAAGCAACTCTGCTTTTGGAGCTGTAACTGTAACTAATTATAGTTAGTCAGAGATCTTAGGACTCTATCTGTAATGGATTACTTTTTCAAAAATCCATTTCTGAGGTCTGCTTTCAAGATACAAACCCTTCCGAGACAGCTCACAAGGAATATCAGAATCCCTTAAGAAAACCAGAGTTTGGAAACATAACCTTTTCATTTTTCATTCACTTTTATTATTTATACTCTGCCTTTCTCTCCAAGAGGATCCAATGTTGTAGTACAGATTTTCTCCCTGGAATCCACTCTCCAGCCAGTGCCTCTCTGGGAAGTTATAGATTTTTAAAATGACTTCTCCAAGTTCTGCATTAAGCAGTATTCATACAGTTGTCAGGATTCTTCACTTCTGTCGTGTACTAAGCATCATTGGGCCCTATGAGGAGATATAAAACTCCTTCTGGAATTCCTCCTTGCCAGCTTCCCCTATTCCTTTCCCATATGGCAGTTGGTGATGTTATAACAAGTCCAGCATTTCAAGGGCATGAAAACCTCCTTTTCACCTCAGTCGTTGTGAATCATCTCCATCCTGACAGGATTTTGCTAAAACATCTGGCACCTTCGTGAATGGAGGCCCTTCATTTGCTCCTCCCCACATGTGTGGGCAGCCAGCCCAACGTGGTAACTGTTCTGCTCCCACACTGGGCTGCGGCAAAATAATTCTAGTTAAAATGAACAGTGCACTACACAGCTCTAGAATGGGCCAGTTTCTACCCTGCAAGTTTGGCCTCTGGAAATGCACGCAGCTCCATATTTGTCTGGCTGTCTAGGTTGTTTACAGATCCCTTTTGAGACCTAAACTGTCTCATTCCCAATGTTGTGTCTGGAGAAGAGGCAATAAAGAGAGATGGGAGGCAAACTGGAAACGAAGAAAAAAGACCTCCTTTTGGAAACTGAGAACTGCGTTCAGCTGCTCACACAGTGCAGATAATCTTATTTGAGTTCATATCTGAGAAATTCTGAAGAATTGCATGCAAGTTGACCATATGGTCAACTGAAACTGTCCTCCCCACTTACCTCACTTCTAATGGCCTAATCGCTACATTAGTGTGTCAAATAGTGAGGGGACAAATTGGGGACAATTTGCATAGAATTTTGACTAAACAATTTGCAAAGAAAATATCTTTGGCTGCAGGGCAACAATTGCCATCTCTCTGGTCTAGTCACTTCAAGAGGCCCAACAGGTTCAGGAATCAGAGAGGACTCTCAGTTTTCTTCTTGAAAGAATAAAGAATCTCTTGAGTGTACAGGGGTGCTAGGGAAAAAAAGAATGAACAAATGTAAGAAGGCAATACAGTAAAGTTTTTCACAACATGGGGAGATGCTTTGAGGATAAAAGGAAGAGCTGTTCAGTGCCTCTTCATTATGCAGCTACAGGAGAAAATGATTTGAGTCCTTACTAGTCTTTGAGGTAGAATTGCGACACTGAGTTTGAACATATTTTTTTCAACCATTCAGTACTCACAGGAAGTTCACAATGGTCTGTCTAATGCTAGATTTTGTCAGTGCTTTCTCCCTAACTGTGATTCATTAGGGTTAGTCACTGACTCTCAAATCTTTAGATTGTAGATGGTTCATTTTGTTGGAAATGCCGTATGCTAACACCTGGGTGGGTAGAGGCACCAGGTGGATAACCTAACTCTCTTTCAAGATGGTTCATTTTGTTGGAAATGCCGTATCAACACATGCTAACACATGGGTGGGTAGAGTCAACAGGTGGATAACCTAACTCTCTTTCGCCTTTTCTAGATCAATATACTGATTGCCAGTTTTAGGCTAATTTCTCCCTCTTTCTTCCTTTGTGTCACTTCCAGTTTATTTCACCCCTTCAACCAACTAGAGAGGCAGACTTACATGGCTTCACTATAACAGTGTAGGAGACCTGCATGTGCAGGAGTAAACTTTAAGAGCTTCTGTAACCAAGATTAGAACTCTTTCTTCTATGCTATCCCTGAATGAATTTCTTAAAACAATAAACATAAATTTTCTATTCAGATACCAGTTATGAGTTTACAGACTGGTTGTTCTTGTGTAATAGCCATAAGCTCAGCACCAGTTCACTACACCCTGCCAGCCTAAATAGCAAATATTCTTATTGTATTATTTATTTTATTAATCTCGTTTACACATCACCTTTCTCCCAACAAGGGTACTCAAGAAGGCTCACATATTAAAAAGAATAAATACAGTAAGTTATACATTTTAAAATACATTGATTAAAAACATGTAAAACATTAAAATTATCTTAACTTTAAAAATGGCATTCAGGGAGACATGATAGTTAAAAGTCTGCCTGAAAAGCAGAGTGTTCAGTTGTTGATGGAAGGATAAAGGGGAGGGTGTTGCCAACCTAACCTCCCAAGGGAGAGCATTTCGTAACCTGGGAGCAGCCACAGAGAAGACCCTCTCTCATGTCCCCATGAACTGTGCCTGCGCTGTCAGTGGGACCAAGAGGAGTGCCTCCTCTGATTATCTAAAGTGCAAAGAAGGCTGATATGAGGAGATACAGTCCTTCAGGTAGCCTGGACCCAAGCTGTATAGCTATGGCTTTCTAGATAATGGCCAGCACTTTGAATTGGGCTAATAGCCAGTCCAGTTGTTGGAGCAGGAGTGTTATATGCTCTCTATAACTGGCCCTATCAATAGTCTGGCTGCTGCATTTATACATGTATACACTTGAGGTTCTGCTAAGTGTTCATGCAGTGCAAACCTCTCATATTTCCACTGGTTCTAACACAGCAGATGAAATATGTGACCTCTTGGCTTTCCCTGATCTATTGGTGCTTCTTTTAGTGCAGTAGTTCCCAGCCTTAAGTCCCCAAATGTTCTTTAACTAAAATTTCCAGAAGCCTTCACTACTAGCTGTGCTGGCCAGGATTTTTGGGAGTTGTGATCCAAGAGCATCTGAGGACCCAAGGTTGGGAACCACTGCTTTAGTGAAATGTTAACTAATTGATCCATCAAAACTCATTTATTAGCAGCCTAATGTTGACCAACCATTCCCAGCCTCATGCCCACCACATGTGCTGGGCAAAAACTGCCATTGCCCATGCTGGGTGCGAATGATTGTATGTTTAAGCATCCAGAAGGCAACAGCTTGGAGAAAGTTGAACTAGAGAATAGCTTATTTCAGATATCATAATAAAAGTAGAAAATGAGAGCTGGATAAGACCAAGGGTTTATGTATCCAGTGGCCTTCCCCTAATGGCTAGCCTGGTAGTTCGATGAAGCCCGTAAGCAGGTTAGGGGATAAGATTATCTGTATCCCATTCTTTCCCCAGTAAGCAATATTTGATGGCATAAGAATAATGAATAAATGTTCACCAGCAAGTTGATTTTGACTTATGGCAAACCTTCTTATGGCTTTCCAGGTATAAAATATTCAGAAATGGTTTCCTATTCATTCCTTTCTGCTAGGGCCTCTCTGGGACTGTGTAGCTAGTCTAAGGCTGCCTAGTCTTGCTGTTTTTCTGAGAGGCACAGTGGGGAATCAAACTCAGTACTCTCACTGAGCTATCCAGTCATCCTCGAATAGCATACCAAGCTGGAAGTTGCAGAGTTTATTTAGTGATAATGATTAGTTGTCCTTCATAAAGCTACCCTGTAGGGCAGGGGTGGATAAAGTCTAGATAGAGGCAGTCATCTGCTCCATGCTGTTCCTGCTGATTATTGTGTGGCTTAAAATGGAAAATTGATCCTTTAGATCTGGGGTTGGATTCTTCATTTTATGACTATTTCACACACACACATGGGCAGGGGCTCAATATCCTTAACGCAAAATTTTCAGAACCTGAGCAGATACAGAACAAGGAAGTGGATAGAAAATGGCCCCATGTCTTTCATGGCTGAACATCCCTGCTCTTTAGGTTGGATCCAGACTTCAGGCTTCTGCGAACAAAAGGGGTCTACTTGTGGAAGATCCCTCTGCCTGATATTTGAGGATTATCTCCACATCACCTCTGTTTCACAGGCTGAGAGGAGGGAACACCAGAAGGATAGGGACATAGAAATCCACTACCTTTAGCCCAGTTACAATCCTCCAAATTTGGATACAACTCTGTAGATTTGTCTATACGACAACATCCTGGAGTCTTTGGTATGCCCTATTATGTCTTCTGGTTAAAGGGTCTTCTGGTTAAAGGGACTGTATTTTGTCTTATCATAGTAACTCCATTGTCTCCCAAACAGATGGTGTGGGCTTCTAGCAACAGAGTTGGCTGTGCCATCCACACCTGTACCAACATGAATGTGTGGGGGAACACATGGCGGCAAGCAGTCTACTTAGTGTGCAACTATGCCATCAAGTAAGTAACCTAGACACAACAGCATTAGGGAAGAATAAGAATGAAAACATCATCAGTATATGAAGCAGCAGAAGGTAGGCTAGGACAGGGAATCTGCAGATATCATAAAGCAACTCCAGGTCCCACCAGGCTCAGTCACCAGGGCCAATGGTCAGGGATGATGGGAACTATAATCCAAAACCAGGGTCACAGGTTTCCCCCAATATAGACTGCAGTGCACAGGGGAGCACTGGCCAATTTGTGATAAATTGTCTAGTGCCTGCTGATTGCTTTTATTCTTACAAATTATATATATATATATATATATGTGTGTATATATATATATATGTATATATATGTGTGTGTGTGTGTATATATATATATATGTGTGTGTGTGTGTGTGTGTGTGTGTGTATGTATATATGTATATATGTATATATGTATATATGTATATATGTGTATATATATTTGTAAGAATAAAAGCAATCAGCAGGCACTAGACAATTTATCACAAATATATATATATATACGCTAGAACCACTGGAATTTGGTTTGATCAAAGAAGAACAACTGGAATTTGGTTTGATCAAAGAAGAAATGTTCTTAAGCAAGAATGCATATGCAATTAGTACTGAGTCAGATGTACTTAGCCAGGAATTCTTGGTTGAAACTCTCCTTTCCCTATTTATCTTTTTTTTTTCCTGTCACCAATAGTACTTTGTCTGAGAACATTATATCAGTGTATAGTTTCATCCCAGGAGATTCATTTGGAGTGGGGAGCCACTAGGAAGTGCTCCATGGTTACCTGCAGTAACACCCCCATTTCCCCACAATTACCAAAAATCACCTTCTTTTCTGGCACATGTGCATGAGGCAGTGGAGATGGAAAAACCTTTCAGGTCAGCTCTGCACTTAATATGGATTATTTCCATCTTAATTCTTAAGAGAACTTGTGTATGTATTCTAAGGGCTATGGAGCGCAGTGGCTAGAGTGTGGAGACCCAAGTTCAGATTACCATTCAGCCATGGCATGCATTGAGTGAGCTTGGCCAGTTGTACTCTCTCAGCCAGTAATAAGCTTGTTGTGAGATTCAAATTGGGAGGACAAGAACCATGTACGATGTCTGGAGCTCATAAGAGAAAAGTAGATTATAAATGCAACAAGCAAACAAATAATTGACCATTAAAAGGATTCCATATTTCCTGCTATTCACATATGGATTTCCTTAATGGAGTAATGCTTCCAAACATGAGCTGACTACATTATCTGCTTTGACCCATTTCCCCCCCTAAATACAGAATATATTTGGTGAGCCAGGGAGATTCTGTTTTGAAAAAAGCAATCAAAACTGGCCAATCCTGCCATTCCTTCTTGCAAAGTCATTTCATTCTGCAGTTTTGTTTTATTTAAAAAGATGACCATTGTGGCATTTAAGGTGGAAAGAATAGCAAGCCTCTGGTTTGTCCAACAAAGGCCATTCTAATGCGTCCTAAAGCAGCATTTGCCAAAGTGTGCACCAATCTCACTTGGCAAAGTGAGCCAGAGGAGATAGATTTTGCCATTGCCTCCCTATCTGATTGACTGTTCAGTCTCTTGTGGGTGCATTTCATTTCCATTTGAACACTATACTGGGTAAACTGGATCATTAATTTATTCCTGACACAGACACACAGCAAATCACTTATACCTACAAGAGACCATTGTTCGCTTCCTTGCTCTGCTACCCTGGACTTGACTTCCTCTAATTATATGATGTGTCAATGACTCGTGCAGAAACACGGGCACACACTTCATTTATGGAGCGAACTGCCACAAGAGGTGACGGTTAAAAAAAATCTTAGCAGAATTTGGAAAAGTTGCTTTCAGAGATTAAAGTTTGGGCTCCTCGGGGATATATTCTGGAAACAAGATGCTGGATGAGATAGGATCTGACTCAGCATCTTCTTACAGAGACAGTCTCCTCCAAGAGTAAATCACTCAAAGGGTATAAGAGTGAAGCTATGCAACTTCCCAGGAATGGAATTTGCCTCATACTTTGCCCCTCCCTCTCTTTTTTTCCCCCCAGGGGAAACTGGATAGGAGAAGCACCTTACAAAATGGGAAGACCTTGTTCAGCCTGCCCACCTAGCTACGGAGGGACCTGCAACAACAACATGTGTTACTCTGGACTAAGATCCAACAAAGTGACCTGGTTCTGAACCTAGCCTGCCTGTTTTGAGTTTCATGACAGCTGGAGAATCTGGACAGCAGAACCGCAGCTAGAAATCACAGAAGCACACTATATACTGTATTGTGTAACAGAAGGATTATTTGTACACATGGAATCCGAAGTCCCCTCCATCTGTTCATATAGATCCTCTCCACTGCTAAAGCTTCAAGTATACACTCTTCATGATTATATATATCAGTTTATATATGTCAGATTGCAGTCCATATCGTTTAAAAAAATAGGAGAGAAGTTCTTAACCTTCACTATAAGGCAGCCATTCTGGTTAATGTATTACTTGTGGAACCACCATATTTTCTTATACTGTAATTGCCACATGGATGGCTATTTCAAAGGGTCCACATTTTAGCTAAATCCTGCCCAAATAGCTGTGTCTTCTGTGATCCTGTCTTTAGGTTTTCTTTGGAGGTAGGAGAAATATCAACATGCTTCCAAGGCAAAAATAGGTTATTTCTGGGCCAGCATACCATTCTTGATCTTTGAACTGTTTTCCCAATGGTGTTCATGCATTTTCCAGACCAATTATAAAGCAACTGGCATATGCTCATGGAAGGAATTTTTTTTCCTCCAATACCTTAATTTCATATTTGTCTGAATTATCCAGACTCTTTGTGTTACTAGCAAGCATGTTACATTTCATTATCCTTTATTGTTACAACAGAAGAGGAGTAAATTTTTTAACTGGTAGTTTAATAAACCAAATTCTTTTTTTTTAATTGGGCTATTGAAAAATTCAAGCTGGATAGCTCAGTCATTTAGGTATCTGCCTGCACAGTTGTGATTCCTCACAGTGGCTGCAACATGTCGAGCCAGCCTATCTGCTCTTGGGTGAACTGTGCAGTCCCAGAGAGCCCCTTGGAGAATGGAATGGTAAACCATAAGTCAGAATTGATTTGGTGGCATATGATGATGATGATTGAAGAACTCAGTGTCTTAGCCTAATCTAATTTGTTTAAAGTGACGTATCTTGGTGGCCATTTTATTATTATGTTATGGTATTCTGCTTAGGTATATTATATCCGGCTTTGAGACTTAATTTACACAATATGTATTCCATCAAAATATGCCAGATCAAACATGAATATTCTCCTGATTATTCCATAAAGGTAAAGGTTCCCCTTGACATTTAGTCCAATTGTGTCCGACTCTAGGGGATGGTGCTCATCCCCGTCTCCAAGCCGTAGAGCCAGCGTTTGTCCGTAGACAGTTTCCATTGTCACGTGGCCAGTGCAACTAGACACGGAACACCATTACCTTCCCACCATGGTGGTCCCTATTTATCTACTCGCATTTTTACATGCTTTCAAACTACTAGGTTGGCAGGAGCCGGGACAAGCGACGGGGAGCTCACTCCATCGCGTGGAATCGATCTTACGACTGATGGTCTTCGGACCTTGCAGCCCAGAGGCTTCTGTGGGTGTAACCCTCACCATGTCCCTTGATTATTCCATAGGTGGGTTGAATATATCTTCACATCATTTCGCTGTAGATGTGCAGACCAGAGAGGGGCACAAACTGCTGCTTCATCCTTTGGACAAAACAGTGTTTGGTGCTTCCCAATGGATTCCCACTAAGGAGGTGGAAGCTGAGGCTCTGCCTTTGAGTGGGCGCATTCCAGAGGAGGCAGGCCTGGGAACTGCTTAACATCTGTTTGTCCAAAAGACTTCATGCTCACCACTAGTGCTAACTCTTTGGGCAAAAACTCTCTACAAATCATAGAATTGGGTAACAGAAAGGGATTGCAAAGTTCATCTGCTTCAACCTTTCGATGTAGGAAATCCTTAGCTCAAGGATCCTTGACAGATGGTCCTTTTTGAAAATCTCCAATGAAAGAAAGCCTACCACCTTTTGAGCTGGTCTCTGCCACTGTCAAACAGCTCTGACCTTCAGGAAATTCACTCTAATGTTTACTTTAAAACTTTCTTCTTGTGATTTGAATTTACTGCCCACAATTCATTTCGTAAGTCACGTTTAAAAGGATGAGAGCTGCACCAAAATCTCTCTTCCTTCTGTAGTGTTCCTATAATAAATCAGAGTTAGCCTTTCAATAAGTGGGAACTCATGCCGCATACTTCCTCTCCCCACCCTTACTAAACACTTAATTTTATTAGTACATGAATAATAGCCAATGTAGAGCCCCAGGGAACTGGCTGGCTGGATTTTGTTGTTGTTGTTGTTTAAGTCTGTAAACTCCTTGAAGCCAGGACCCCCCGGTATTTTTTGCCAATTTGATTTGGCAAAGCACCACTGTCCATATATGAGACGGTGTAACTAATACATAGTCTGAACAAAGAAAACGAGAAATGGACAGCATCAGACCTTGGGAATCTACCAGGACCTGAGTGATCCAGCAGCACGCGCGAAACACTGTTGCTTATCTTAGCTTCAGGTGTTAGCTGATAGCAGCATTCAGGCCACCATTTAATTTTCCCACAATGGCCCTGTATTGTGGGAAGATAAAATGGCTGCATGCTGCTGCCACAGCCACATAGGCCATGCACAGGTTGCTCTGGGGTAAGAATGGGAACTCATACATGAACAAGTCTTAGCAGTAAGTGTGTGGGGCGGGAGCAGGGAATTAAGAGATTGGTAGGAGGGAGAGAAAAGGAAGTTTTCCCAGTCCTCCACTATAAGCTTCTTGAACTTCCTTCCATAAACAGGCTTCTTGTGCACAGATATAGCAATAAATATGGTGAACCCAAAAGTATATCATTCATCCATTTATTTATTTAAAATCACATCTCATGTTATCCTATTCAGTTTAAAGTAGGTAAGGACCATAATTCATACTCCATATAAGCAGAATGTGCAAGAATTCCTCCTTTTGATTACAATTCCCAGAATCCCCTATGGTGGAAGAAACTGAGCCAGGGACTTTCTATATATAAAAAGACAACATTAGTCCAAAGCCAAATCACTGAATAGCCCTGCAAAAGAAGAACAAGATAGTATTAGGTGTGGCAAGGTAATCATTATTCAGAAGACAATAGTAAAGGGAACAATATAATTTAAAAGGTTGAAATGTGATGAAGCCAGATTCATAGTTTGGATGTATTACTAGATTCACTTTTGATGTTTTAGGCCCAGGTTTTATTTGCAACCCCACATCCTATCTGTAGTTCGTGCAACTGGGAGGGATTATCAAGGCTGAGGTGACTGTATATCTGTCCAGCACTAACCAATTGTTCCTTCTAGCCTTTGAATTCAAAAAGAGTGTTGGCTCTCTGCTAAGTGTTCTTTCCCCTCTCTTTCTTGGGTTGATGGCATTTTGTTTGTTTGCTGTTGATCACTTCCGTTGGTTGCCAGTATTTATATAGGCAGTAAAGAAAGCAGTATACAGAAGTCTGTAATTTCAGAGTAAGAGAAACTATCTGGACCAGGAAGACCAGTGGTTCAAATGGTGGAAATTTCCAGCAAACCCCAAGGGCACTTTCATTTTCCAATAGGAAACAAGACCTGAACTTGACCTATCTTGGGCCATGAGGCCTTCTGGATGAGTACAATTCAGATGTCTGTCTGGCAGGTGGAATTCCTAAAATGGAGAATTTTGAGCGATGGAGTCCAAAAACAACAGAAAGTTACTGACTGAGAGGTAAGGAAGTGTGGGTTTTCAGATCAGAGGCTGTGCAACCTTGTCTCTTTAAGATTCTCCACTCTTTCACAAGGAGGCAGAGACTACACCGCACAATCTGGCCTGATGGGGTAACAGATCTCAATTAAGTGACAGCCCTTGGTCAGAGAAAGTGACTACTAGAGCTATCCAGGGTCCTGATACAATCTGCCACCTTAGCCTCCACCACAAAATTTATTGTTGGCATCAGCATTATCAATGATTTGAAACTATATTTCCCCTTTCCTCCTATGGCCAGCAGCCAAAAAAGAGAGCTCCAGGACTTGCATAATTGTCATCGTTGTTGATGTTGTTATGTGCCATCAAGTCGCCTTTGACTCATGGCGACCCTGTGAACTGCCCAGAGTACACACATTCTAGATGGGTGGCATATAAATCTAATAAATAAATAAATACATAAATGGGCAATCTCCAAAACATCCTGTCCTCAACTGCCCTGCTCAACTTTTGTAAACTTAAGCCAGTGGCCTCCTTTACAGAATCAGTTCATCACATACTGTATTTGGTCTTTCTGTTTTCAGTGGATCTACTTAGCAACTGGATTTAGGCCAGTAAGACTGAGATGGTGCATACAACTCTCTTCCTCCCCATTTTACCCTCACAATAACTCTGTAGGGTGGGTCAGGTGGACACAGTGCAACCACCTCCAGATTCTCCTGTAAATATCATTGCTGAGTAGGATTTGAACACAGGTTTTCTGGATCATAGTCCAGCACTTTAACCACTGTTCCATGCATATTATATATGAAGATATGCACATATTGCATTCACATACTGCCTTTCTACCAGTTCATGGACCTAGGGCAATCATCAAAAATTTGGGTGTGTGAGACATACATTAATTAAAAATCCAGTATTAAAAATCCAATTCAACATACTATAGTATTCAAAGATCTTTACCTTAAAACAATTTTTAAAACAATGGACAGGATGTTATTGCCCATGGTGGAGAAGGGTTATGAATGTTGTTTATTTGATTGTGTGGTTTTTATTGTTATTTTATGATATTTTATGATTTTGTAAGCCGCCCCGAGTAGATGCTGTCTAGGGGGCGGGGTGTAAATTGAATAAATAAATAAAATAAATAAGGATAATTGCATAAGTATCTCCTGCACTCCAGCAGGTTTTCTTTTCCTGGCAACTGATCAAGAACATACTTGCAAACACTGAGCCTAAAGGCGACACTTAGTACTTTCACTCCATATTTAGGCAATGGGATTCCAGCCATTTAAAAAAAACACACACCAATAAATGCATAAAGTCACATCTGTAGAAGCTGATGTCATCAGCCATGGGCTTTAATTGCTCCTTAAATGTTTCCTGTTCTACCACACACACAC